CACCAACCTTCGTTTATGTAGAAGCAGATTCCGCCTCCCCTCGTTTTTCCCGACAGCGCCGTTACGTGGTCCGCTCGGAGGAGTTGGAAGCCCGGCAGATGTAGTGCGCTGTCCGGAATGTGCTCATCGTGCCAGGTTTCAGTGAAGCACAGGGCGGCGGATCTGCTAAAGTCCTTTTTTAGTTTGTTGAGGAGCAGCAGCTCATCCATCTTGTTGGCCAGAGAGCGGACGTTCGCCAGATGAATTGACGGGAGCGTAGTCCCCGTCGGCGCAGATTAACGAGCGCTCCTGCTCGCTTCCCTCGTCGGCGTCTCCGATAGATTCCGAGTAGGGCTGCTGCTCCCCCTACTAAAATCTCTGAAAAACTTTCTGGTTCTATGAAATGTGGCGAAAAAGTTTGGCCAGTGGATAGACGGATGTTTAAGAGATCCTCTCTGCTGAATGTGATCAGAGACAAACAGACAAAAACAGAAAAAGTACGAGAGAGCGCAGTACCGAGGCTGCCATCCGCGGCGCCAGCTTGTTGACTTTTTGATGATGTCATAAACCACACACCCAAAATCGGTGATGTGAACTTCCTGTTCTGTCTCCAGGTGTTTCTGCAGCGTTTGTGTCCCGAACAGGAAAAACGACAGATGTGACTCAGATTAAAGGATGGAGAGAGAAGTTCACTCCACCAGAGGCTGCGTCCACGGCGACACAAGCCAACCCTGAAGGTGAGCTTTGAAAACAATGAAATGATTCATCAAGAAAACTTAACTGGATGATGCAAACGGTGTTTCCTTGTGTCCTTCGTTCTGTAGCTGGTCTCAGTTCAGATCTACCAAAGAAGAACCTTTCGGCATTCTGCAGCGACATGTTGGACGAGTATCTGGAGAACGAAGGGAAGCTGATCGACCAGCGAGCCGCCAGCTTCACTCAGCCAGTGGTGGAGCCGGTGGTCTACAAGCTGCCCACCAGGAGCACCAGCTACGTCCGGACCCTGGACAGTGTCCTGAAGAAGCAGACTGCCAGCTCCCCCACCTCAGACCTCATATCTGGATTCATCCCCCCCTCCAAGAGACCCAAACTCAACCTCAGAGAGACCAAAACATTCAGGAGGCAGAGGGGTCCTAAACCCAGAACAGAACCAGCTCCAGCACCTGCACTCAGTCTGAGTCCAACTGAATCAAACTTGTCTAAACAACTGTCAGTCCAGATCCCAGTGCCCCCCCCATCGGAGAACACATACGCTGTCACCGAACCTCATAGATCAAAGAGACACCAGCTGAAAGTCCAATTCGACCCCACAGAACTGCTAACTCCGTCTGCTCCACCCAAGAGGAGGAGGAAGTTTAAACCCAAGACCTCGACCCAGACCCTCAACCCCTCCAAGCCCTCGGCCTCCCTGCCTGGCGTCTCACAGGACATGGCTCCACTGGAGTCGGACTCTGAGCTGGGGCCAGTCCAACAGAGTGAGAAGGACAGCAGGCCCATGATGACCCGGGGTCTGTTGAGACAGAAGGATCTGGAGGATGGGGTGTTGTGGGAGGGCCGACCCCGGACCAGCATCACGGAGGAGAGGGCCGCCATCGCTCTGACATCACTCTTCACTCTGAAGGTAAGAGATCACAGATAGAAACACGATATCTACAAAACCCTTTTCTAAACTTTAAGTGACAGTAGTGATGTTCCTCTGACTCCTCTGGTCCCTGTTACTCCTCTGATTCCTCTGACTCCCCTGATTCCTCTGACTCCCCTCATTCTGAATCAGAACCGTTTATTGCCAATGTATGTAACACACAAGGAATTTGTCATGGCAGGTGGTGCATAACATTAGACAATAACAGTGAACAATAAACAACAATCAACAGTGCAAGAAATAGAAACATATTAAAATTTACAATAGAATTTAAAAGAATATAAAATAAAGTGCACGACAAACAGATAACACGACTGTAAACAAGTGTAATGTAAAAGTGACAAGTGTATTTAAATATGAAGTGATGTGCAGGGGAGTAGTAGGGAGGGAAGAAAATTGTCCTGGGGATGACAGAGTCAGTGGGGGACCCGGGCTCTGTTAATGAGCCCGACTGCGGACGGGACGAAGCTGTTCGTGTGGCGTGAGGTCTTGGTCCTGATGGACCTCAGCCTCCTACCAGATGGAAGGGGCTCCAACAGTTCATGTCCAGGGTGAGAGGGGTCGGCTGCAATCTTTCTTGCTCGCTTCAGGGTTCTTGAAGTGAACAAGTCTTGGAGGGACGGCAGATTGCAGCCAATCACCCTCTCAGCAGAGCGAATGATGCGCTGCAGCCTGCCCTTGTCCTTGGCGGTGGCTGCAGCGTACCGGACCGTGATGGAGGAGCAGAGGATGGACTCAATGATGGCTGTGTAGAAGTGCACCATCATTGTCTTTGGCAGGTTGAATTTCTTCAGCTGCCTCAGGAAGTACATCCTCTGCTGAGCCTTTTTAGTGATGGAGCTGATGTTCAGCTCCCACTTGAGGTCCTGGGATATGATGGAGCCCAGGAAACGGAAGGA